AGAAGGGATAAGCCTGATTGGAATATAGTGTAAACATGTATGGAGATTTAACAATGAAACAATCCCCTGTATAACTAAGCTAACAAAAATATGTACTCATTACATTATAGAAATATTGGGCTGGGAAGGTGGCTCAGTGGTAGAGCACTTGCCTTGCATGCCTGAGGCCCTGAGTTTGATTCCTCAGCACCACATAAGCAAAGAGAAAAAGCCGGAAGTGGCACTGTGGCTCAAGTGGTAGAGTGCTAGCCTTGAGCTGAAGAGCTAACGGACAGCGCCCCAGGCCCAGAGTTTAAATCCCACGACCGGACCAAAAAAAAATCCAAAAAAAAAAACAAAACAAAAAAACAAAACAGAAATATTTAATTAACTCCTAAAAATAAACACAAGTATTGCTGTTATAATTTTTCAATGAACGTAGAAAGTGACCATATAACTGTGTGCATGTGTTGGTACCAAGGCTTGAACTTAGGGCCTAGCATTTTTTGCTCAAGGTTAGTGCTCAACCACTTGACTCACAGCTCCATTTCCAGCATTTTGGTGTTCAATTGGAGATAAAGAATCTCATAGTCTTTATTGCCTGGGCTGGCTTTGAACCACAATACTCAGACTTCAGCGTATGAGTAGCTAGGATTACAGTCACCCAGCTTGGTAAAGCTGTTTTGTACGTTGGCAATAATACTATTCTCTCTTACAAAAGAGAATGCATATTCATTTCATTCTGTCTTACCTGAAAACAATATGAATAAAATGAAAAGCTTAACATTTCATTTTAAAATAATTTTATCCAAAAATTATAAAAAATAATTTCATAGAGAGTATTTTAAAAGAATTTCTTAGGATTCCTACATGATAAAATTTAATTACATTTGTTTTCTTTCTTTTTATATAGAGTAACCTGTCACTTAACAATAAGGATTTATGAGGATTATACTAGTAGGAAATTATATAGTTGAATGTATATCATAGAATGCTACATAAATTAAGACAGCTATAATGTTACTAGGTGATAAGAACTTTTCATCTTTGCTACAATTTGGAGGCGGGTAGTGTTGTTAATTCAAGCCAAGGCCTTGTACCTTGCTAGACAAATGCTCTACTAATGAGTTTCATCTCTAGCTGAAAAGTGTTATTTGTTTTTTGCAGAGCTAAGGATTGAACTCAGTGTGCTGGTGATAATTTTCTAACTTATGATTCCTTCTATATTACTTCACAATTTTCTGTAAGATTTATTCATTCTCCTCCATTTATTCATTACCAGTGTGGATTCATGGATTCTTTTTTTATTCTGTAGGTGGTCATTCATTTCTACCAGTCTTATCATCTAGCCTACATCTGTGTTCTTTGTCATACCCTATCATTCTTCTACTCTTTCTTTACTTTCTGACAACTGGATGGTGTAGGCATATCTTGTACTTCCCAGCATCAATCCTGGCAAGTTATTTTCTCTAAGCAGTGCTAGTTCCTTTTAATGAAGAATGACATTTAAAACTGCCATCTGAGCTGGGTGTTGGTGGCTCACACCTGAAATCCTAGCTTCTCAGAAGGTTGAGAACTTCGGATTGAGGTTCAAAGCAGGAAAGTCTGAGATTCTTATCTTACTCCAGTTAACTTCCAAAAAAAGCCAGAAGTAGAGCTGTTTCTCACGTATTTTTGCAAGCCTTGAGCCCAGAGATAATAACCTAGGTCCTGAGCTCAAGCACCAGGACTTACACACAAAACAAATAAAAACAAACTACTATCTAGGTAGTAGGTGTATCTTACTCATTTCTTTTTAAATTTTTTTCTTTTTTCTTTTGCCAGTCCTGGGGCTTGAATTCAGGGCCTGGGCAATGTCCCTGAGCTTCTCTTTGCTCAAGGCTAGCACTCTACCACTTGAACTACAACACCACTTCTGGCCTTTTTTGTTTATGTGGTACTGAGAAATTGAACCCAGGGCTTCATGCATGCTAGGCAAGTACTCTACCACTAAGCCACATTCCCAGCCTGCTTATTCATTTTAGTATGAACACTTAAGGATCTTCTTCTAAATGGTACAAAACTATTCATGTAGTTACACTACACTTTAGGGAATATTAGGACTATAAACAATTTTTCTTTACTTCTTTAAAAATGCTCCCCTGAGGGGCTGGGGAAGTGGCTCAGTGGTAGAGCGCTTGCCTTGTATGCATGATGCCCTGGGTTCGATTCCTCAGCACCACATAAGCAAAAAGAAAAAAAGCCTGAAGTGGTGTTGTGGCTCAAGTGGTAGAGCGCTAGCCTTGAGCTGAAGAGCTGAGGGACAGCTCCCAGGCCCAGAGTTCTGGCCCCACGACCGGACCCCAAAAAAAAAAATGCTCCCCTGAGCCGGGCGCTGGTGGCTCATGCCTGTAATCCTAGCTACTTAGGAGGCTGAGATCTGAGGATCGCGGTTCAAAGCCAGCCCGGGCAGGAGAGACGGTGAGACTCCTATCTCCAATAAACCACCATAAAACCGGAAGTGGCGCTGTAGCTCAAGTGGCAGAGCGCTCGCTTTGAGCTGAAGAGCTGAGGGACAGCACCCAGGCCCAGAGTTCAAGCCCCACGACCGACAAAAAAAAAAAAATGCTCCCCTGGTATATGTTATCTTTATTTTTTGGTGACAGTACTGAAGCTTGAACTCAGAGCCTTTCCCTCTTGGCTTTTTTGCTCAAGGCTGGTGCTCTATTACTTGAGCCATACCTCTACTTCCAGCTCTACAATGGTTATTTGGAGATAAAAGTCTTAAGCTCAGGCTGGCTTTGAACTTGAATCCTAAGATCTCAGCCTCTTGAGTAGCTAAGATTATACTTAAGGCACTAATATCTTGTTAAACCTAGAGTTCTTTTGTTTTTATTTGGGGTGTGTATATGTGAGATTTTTTTTGCTCAAGGCTAGTGCTATCACTTTGAGCTACAGTTCTGGTATTTAGGTGGTTAATTGGAGGTAAAGAGTTTGACAGACTTTCTTGCCCCAGCTGCCTTTGAACAGTGAATCCTAAGACCTCAGGCCTCCTGAGTAGCTAAGATTGTGATTAATTAGGTGGTTAATTGGAGGTAAGGGTTTGACAGACTTTCTTGCCTCATCTGCCTTTGAATCATGAATCCTAAGATCTCAGGCCTCCCGAGTAGCTAAGATTATAGCATGAGCCACCAGCGACCAGCATAAACCCAGAGTATTGATTAGATCCAAGTTCAAATTTTATTGGCAAAAGTACAGGTGACACTTTCTTCCATACTACATTAAAAGGTAAATAATAGTACATAATAGTACATTTAGTACATAAATAATATTTAGAGCTTTAGTACATCACCTCATCAGTGATCACTAGGTTCAATGGTGTTTGCCTAATCTATCAACTTTTTTTTTGTCAGTCCTAGGGCTTCAATTCAGGGCCTACATGCTATCTCTGAACTTTTTTGCTTAAGGCTATCTCTCTATTACTTCTGGTTTTCTGGTGGATAATTGGAAATAAGAGTCTCACAAACTTTCCTGCCTCGGCTGGCTTCAAACTGCCATCCTCAGATCTCAGCCTCCTAAGTAGCAAGGATTACAGACATGAGCCACCAGTGCCCAGCTCTAATCTATCAACTTTAAAACTATAAACTTTTCTTAGTATTTTAACATCTAATTTTTCTTTTTTTCCCCAGTCCTGGGGCTTGAACTCAGGACCTGGGCACTGTCTCTGAACTTCTTTTGCTCAAGGCTAGCACTCTACCACTTGAGCCACAGCACCACTTCTGGCTTTTTCTGTGTATGTAGTACTGAGGAATTGAATCCTGCTAGGCGAGCACTCTACCACTGAGCCACATTCCCAGCCCTATCATCTAATTTTTCTTATTCCATTATTTCAGTAGGGTTCCATAACTGCAATCTTCGTTCCATAACTGCAATCTTCTAATTCTACCATTGCTTTTGTTTACCTGATTTTTTGTTTAAAAAAAACAAACCAAAAAAACCTCGGTGTGTGTGTACATATACAAGTGTGTGTGTGTAATTTATTTTTCTTTTTTTGGTATAGGAATTGAACCCAGGATGTTGCACTTGCTAGGCAAGCACTATGCCAGTCAGCTACATTCCATTGCTTTTTTTTTTTTTTGGTTGGTCCATGGGGTTTGAACTCTGGGCCTAGGTGCTGTCCCTGAGCTCTTTAGCTCAAGGCTGCTAGTGCTCTACTACTTGAGCCACAGTACCACTTTTGGTTTTCAGGTGGTTAACTGGAGATAAGAGTCTCATGGATTTTCCTGCCCAGGCTGGTTATGAACCATGATCCTCAAATTTCAGCCACCTGAGTAGCTAGGATTACAGTTGTGAGCCACTGGCACCAGGCAACCATTGCTTTTATACTCTTTTGGGGGTGGGGGACTGGTACTGGGACTTAAACTCAGGGTTTCAAACTCTCCCTTAGGTTTTTTTTTTTTTTTTGGTCCTGGGCGCTGTCTCTCAGCTCTTCAGCTCAAGGCTAGCGCTCTACCACTTGAGCCACAGCGCCACTTCCGGCTTTTTTCTTTTTGCTT